ACTACCAACGATCGAAGCCCATGAGCAAAGGTTGCTACTAGACTATTTGAGCACCAAGTGAGCACCAAAAAAGCACAGGGTGCTAAGGAGAGACACTGAAAGTCGATTTGACCAGTCGCACTCGTCTTTCCATCACCCAGCTGCTTGAACAAACACCTCGGAGATTCTGATTGTAGGGCATTACAAGCCCTCTGGTTCGCGATGGAGGCGCCACTGAATTCAGAAGTGGCGTATGTTGAGCCAAGGTCAACTCTTGCCAATGAAAAACCTCCAGGTCAACTCCCAGAGACAAAACGCTCAGTGCCCCCTCCTGAGCCCTTCACAGCACCTCGACCCAGCAGTCCGTCCCATAACACAAGTTCAAGCGTTGCACCGATCTCGGCATCCTCCTTACAACAGCCGCCATCGACCATGACGACTCCCGCAACCCAAACCGCTACTCGAAGTTTTGGCGCCGCGTCCTTTGCCAGCTCGAATGGGCGGAATATATCTATTGAACGGCTCGACTCACCATCACTACTGGCGGGCACTATCGCTTCAAATGAAAAGGCTGTCTCTGGTGTTACAACTATAACGCACTCACCATCCCCATTGCCGTCTACTGAGGGGGACAATTCGCCACACGGGCCACTGCCAGAGTGGGCGTACTTCTACGATCCTGCTTTGTCTTACGCTCAGGTCAAGTACATCTTGTCGCAGTTGAAACCACAAGAGGAGTATAACGAATTGCCTCATCATCAGCGCCAGAGTGTTGTAGTGAATGACCTGCAGCAAGCTTTGTCCTCAATGCGACAGTTCTATGGCAAATCTACCGAGGTTGTGGCCAACACCCCAACCAAAACACCCGAGGCTACAGGTCCCGAGACCACAGCCAGGGAATCTAACACTCGATCCGGGCACCATTCTGGCCAAGAATCCAATGTCGAGAATGCCATTCTCGTCGAAGAGTCTGGCGATGAGTTTCCTTTCAGAAATGATCACGATGGCGGCAAATTGGCGCGCAATCATTCTATCTCAGCAATGCAACGCGATAATCAAGTCCCAACAAGCCGCGTCCCGGCACAAATAGCCCCAGATCCCACCTCATTTGAGTCTAAATCTTCCTTTTCACCTCGAGAGTCTCGTGGCGAGCCAGTGTACAACGTAGCTAGATCCAGCGGCAGTCACAGTCACGGCAAGCGCTTAGGAAATGGCGATGATAGCAAACCGAAGAGACCGCGACTGCAAAGCACGCTGGAGGTTGACCAAAATGGTCGCGCGCGTGTTGTCTCGTCGCCATCTCAAATATCTCGATCTGCCGGCATAGTAGACGGTCCGAACTCTTTCTTGCAGGCATTTTCAGCGGACGATCATATGACTTCGACTGGTTCTGGACTTCCCGCGGTATCACGCTCACCAAACTCGCTTTTACTCGAGCAATCCTTGCCGCGAGAACCATCTAACGATGACGACGCGAACTACCAGGTCGCAGCCTACGAGACCTCCCGAAGCCGCAAGTGGCCCCAAGAAGATACAGCACGTTTACTCAAAGCTCGTGAGGATGGCCATACATGGGACGTTGTACAACAGGTGAAATTTGCATGCTCCGGTTTGTGTTTTCTGATGCAGTACTGACACCATGGATGCTATAGATACTTCCGCATTACAGTATACCCGCCCTTCAGAACAAGCTTTCGCGTATCAAGGGTTTGGATCGGACTCAGCTGATCTCACTTCGCTCCTCTGTATCTGATAGTAACAGTGCAATGCGAAAAGACGAGAGTGAGCCTGGTACGCCCCTTACATCCATGTCAACGAAGACTACCTGCAGCTCAGAGCTCCTCAATAAGCCGCCGGCCCATCAACATTTGGCTTCTCGCGAAGCTTCGACTCCTCCATGGCCACAAAAGAATGATCCACTTGGTGTTTCGACGTCAAAGGGAGACGCGGCAGTCGCTGATGCCAATTTGGGCGCCTCAAGAAAGGGCGGGGTAGTGTCTTGGCTCGACGAAGAAGTTCAGCTTTTGGTAGACTTGAAAGGACAACATAAGTCTTGGGATGAAATTTTTGAGGTTGGTTCGCCTGGTTGTCGCTGCGAACGCCACGAAGGCGTTCTCGCTCAGTACCTAGTCAAAGCTGACCAGATCCCTGGGATCAGGCTATTCCAAGGCATACCTGTGCTGCCATTCGGACGAAATTCTCAAACATCAGACAAGATTCGAGACGGGCCCCGAAAGCCCAAGGTGCCGTGGCGAAAAAGGCTGGTCATTTTACTACAGACTGTAGTGGAAGGTTGTACAGATCAATCATAGGTAAGACTTGCAACGGGAGTAGCTATCTTCGCACATACATGCCAGTCCTAATAGGAACGACCCACTGATGGCCTCCAATTTCAGACAAGTTTGGAGGGAGGAAGCATGGTACCTTTTACCTTCTCACCCCCGGAAACTACCATTCTGCTGTGTCTGATCTACCTGGATTGCCTTGGGTTTGTCCAATTCGTTCATGCCGCTACGCATTCCTCAAGCCCTCCAGCCTGGATAGTCACTGGAAGGTATGATGTGACAGCACTGACTCTCTGTCTGGGTGGGATGCCGCTGATCAGTGTGCTACAGCGGAGTCATCGCAGATGTTTACTCAACGACAACAACGACGGCACATTCAGCATCAAGGGGGAGCAGACTGACGGAAAGGCCCATGCCAAGGTCATCAGTCGAAACCCGTTGGACAAGAACGAGCCACCAATGGTTAAAACCCGCAGCTATCGCCAGGTCCAATTGGAGAAAGAGGAAAAGCAGGCCAGCGTGGAGAACCCCTTGACGCAAAGAGGAGGCCTGTCAGAGCGGACTTTCACGGCCAACAAGCACGATGGTGTCTTCCACGGGAGTGGCGATATCGGTAAAGTCATCATACCTGAGGATCTTACGATGGCCACGAATATTCGGTCGTACAGAGAATGGCCTGGTGAGCAAGAGCTTTCAATCTCTCCGATCAAATCGCTTTGCGAATCTTTATTCCCACCGTCAGACGAGACCGGCGCGCTGGTGACTACGTATGGTGTTCCGCTACCTGCTAACTATACTCTTGCCGAGTTCCGCGGGTTTGAATGGCTTTGCCCTATAAGGACTTGCGGGCGCATTGTGCCCTCTTTGAAGAGCCTAGGCGGTCACTTCTCCGTATGCTCTCTCTTGTTCCTGCTAGTCCAATGGAAAACAATATGTGGCTGACAGACTTTAGTCTGGACACCCCGGCGTATTGCTCAACGACAATAGAGATGGAACCTTCATTGAGGTTGGCCGTCGCGACTCTGGCCAAGGCAAAACCTATCATAGAATTGTCATGGTCACATCGAAGAATCCGCTGCCTCCCAATCCCCAACCTCGAGCTGAGCCGAATGCTCCGCCTCAGAACCTACAGGCACAGATCGATCTGGCAGCCAGCATCGCTGAATGGAAGAAAGCTAAGCTGGCGAGACCTGTGGCGGCGAAGCCCACAATGGATGAGATGCTGGCAAGAAGGGTCTCGTCTGTCGTTCAATCTGAGAAAGAAGATACAGAGTCTTCCGAGCTCTCGGACGAAGTCACGCCACTCGACTCTGATACGCCAGAGCCCCAAGCGACCTCTGCCGAAGACTCTGAGGGAGGAGGGGCAACTGAGCCCGTCCACAATGAAAGTGATGTTGAGTTACCAGATTCTCCTAAATTGACGACTCTGTTCGCACGGGAGAACTGGGACATTATCCAAGCTCTTTTCAAAGGCAAAAGATTTCCACCGCCCCAGTCAGGCCCGCTGAAAAAGCTCATATCGCTACGTCGCGTGCGCGAAATTGCGCGCGGTCCCGGCGCTGGTAAACTGTTCTACGTACAATGGCCCAAGGATGTCTCCTTGCTCATCGTACAGCTTGTTGGCCGCGAATCTCCCACGGCCTGCGAGAGGTGTTCCAGAGGCTTTGGAATATTTTCGAGCTGTGTGGTTGTGCCGCAAGATGTGGCCAACCTTTTACAGAATGGTGTTTGTGCCTGCGTCAGCTGCAGCTGGAAGAGTCTCTACTATAAGACCTGCGACCTTCAGAAGCTAGACAAGAGCGCGGAAGGAGCTACAATAATTGATAGCGACCCTCCACGAAAATCTGTGATGGAGGCTGCGACTCGGATTGCACGCGTAGACTCAATGGATCTATCGAGCAGTAGGACCGATCAGCCGTTGAGTCCTCGTCGCTCGAGGAGGCTTAAGAGCGATGCAATGGATGGAAGCGGTCAGGAACAACCGAACGTACAAGCTAGAATCTCTTCGGTGGAGGATGTTGAGGCACCAGCTACTGCCGCATCGCAGAAGATGACACACACCACCAAGGTTGACAAGTCTTTCAGCTTCCGCGTGGACGTGATATTACCAAGGACAACCCTCCAGCTTGAGCCTGACGTGGACAGCCTTCGAATCTGCTCGCTTGCACTGGGTAAGGTTACGGTGAAAGTGCAGGGTGAGCAAAGGTTTGATATTGGACTTCAAGGCATGTTCAAGCTAGTGCCAGGCGTAGGGGCGGAAGTTGTTAATGCAGCTGGGTTTGATGCCGTCCTGCAGATATCAAGTTTTAGAGGAAGGTGAGACACGGTTGCCAAGGAGCGCCGTTTGTTTGATCGCGAACCGGATAGATTGTAGGGTAAATTATCGCAGATAGAATGTTTCATGATTACTTTCCCTTTTATCAAACGTGTTTTTGAACAGTGTCGTCTTCACACTCAGTTCAAGACACAAGATGTTGTCAAGGGTACCAATGCCTAAACTTGAGATGTGTGCAAATAGAATATTATGATCTAGTGAGACTACTAGGCTTTGCTTCACCGTCATTTCAGGAGGTCTTACACCCTTTATCTGATGAATCACAATCCAGCCACTTGAAATGGGGGATCTTGTGTCAATCCAAAATCATCAGGCTGATTGAGCTGCAGGCAGCCTTTGTTTCTGCAGACGGCCACCTCATCAGCTTGCTTGTACCCATGAGTTCCAACAACCAACAAGCAACCGATATGGTGCAGTGGTGAGTTTTTCTTCTCCTTATTCGTTGCCTGTGACCTGAACTAACAGCTTTATAGGTTAGCATATTGGATTTTCAGAGTTTGGAAACCTCCAAAGACAGGAGTTCAAACCTCCTTATCGGTGTTCTTTTTGCCCATTCTACCCCTTCTTGGCAAGATTGAGCATGATTCTATGCTGGTAATATGCACAAGTAGCAGAATAACCAATAAAGTGAATATCACACCTTGAATTCTAACCTCTTGTGTGTGCCACATGCTGGCGTTTGTATAACCTTGATTGTCTGATATTCCCCAGTCGTGCAGCAAACGCCTGTTACTTATATTGAAATGTCATTTACTAGCCATTCCAGACTTAAAAAATGGAAGACCTTGCATGGTAAGAGGTTTCAGAAAAGATGAAGTCCCCAGTATTGAGACCGTACTTGGGCACGAAAGTGTGACACGGTTCTAGGGTGATAACTCCGTGTTAACCCCGTAGAAAGCTCTACCAGATGTGGACTACTTGCCTGAAAAAAAGGTCAAATAAGGGATATGACATGTCCAGAAGACTGAATCCCAGATATATACAGTCATATCGATCGTATTTTGCAGTTGCTGTAGTATATAGAGTGTAATTCAGCCACCGCGGGTCGTCCAGTCAATCCGTATCATCTCTCAAGACATCCATCCCAGCGCTGATCAAGACTCCGTCCAACATGGTTTCCACAGCCATCAATTTCGCCCCAGCCTTCACGTCCATCAAGCGTCCCCTGACCTGGCTCATCACAGGATGTTCCTCAGGCCTTGGCCTCGCCATTGCGCGACACGCACAAGCCGCCGGACACACCATCATCGCGACCTCGCGCGACCCCTCCCGCACGCCCGACCTAGTCACCGAAATCACCACACACCCCATCTCACCCGGGAAATGGCTCACGCTAGACCTTGACACGCCTACTTGCGGCTCCATTATTGCCGAATTGGAAGCACAGGGCGTGGTGGTTGATGTGCTGGTGAACAATGCTGGGTGGTCGATCCACGCGCCGGTGGAGCACTTTGCGGAGGAGGAGGTGAGGGCACAGTTTGAGACGGTCTTCTTTGGGCCATATCGATTGACTAGGGCTGCAGTGGCTGGGATGAGAAGGAGAAGGTTTGGAGTGGTGGTGAATGTGAGTAGTGGGGCGAGCTTGGAGGGGCGGGATAGTATGGGTGTCTATGCAGCTGCGAAGGCTGCTTTCGACGGTAAGCCATTTTCTGTGCATTATTGACCTCACATGTATAGTTGGGTGGCGGGTTGACATCTTTCAGGTCTCACAAAAGTGCTGGCTAAGGAGGTTGCCGAGTTCAACGTCCGCACGCTGACGGTCCTGCTCGGCGGCTTTCACACGGCAATGGCATCAGCAGCGAAGGCTGGCACGCAGCCCATCGCGGATGATTACAAAGGTACGCTGGTGGACAAGACAATACAATTCATGGCCAGCGGACAGTTCGTTGGCGATGGCGACCCGGCAAAAGCGGCGAAGGCCATTTATGAGGTGGTGGTGGGCGAAGGTGTGGGTACAGGTAAGGAGGATGAGCTGTTTCTGCCCCTAGGGCGGGATATGGAGGCCAGGGTGAAGCTCGTCCGGGACCGTCTGGATAATTGTTGGGAGGTGTTTGGCGATGTCGCGATGAATGTCTACATCGACAGATGAAGAGGCTCCTGGAAAATGAGATCTATTACCTAGCACTTTGTCACTCACTTGTGCAAACCAGCTCACCTCCTTTGCGCATTCCTTCAACTCCCGCCGGCCCGGCCGGCCGTCTTTGACCATCTACAACTCATCCCGCCAACGGCGACGTACAAGTAAACGCATTGACCTGTGGCGTCTGGAATGCAGAAATCAAGGACTCAATCGCCGCATACGACCCCAGCCCGCTGACCACGAGCGATCCCAAAGTGTAGATCGTCAACAGGATGCAAGCCCACCAGTATCTCCCAAAGTATCCTCTCATAATTCGCTTGATTCCACTGTCCTGTCGATGAACCTCGCATGTGTATGGATCAAACGGCGTCTCACCGCGCATGGCCTCTTTCTGTACAAGATATCCAAGACCTAGGGCTGCCGGGAAGGTGTAGGTGAACTGAACGAAGAAGAGGGCTGCAGTCAGACTCGTCAACCCGAAAAAGTCGGGAATAGCGGCCGAAAGAATGAAGGCGAGACTCCAGAAGAGGGGCACAGTGACTGCCCAGATGCGCTTTCCCGTCTTGGTCGTAAGCTGGGGAGCTGAGAACCACTCTACGAGTACTAGATGGAGAGCCATGTCAGTGACTCAAAGCCGCAAGTAGGGCCTGGTATCGAATGCTGTGGTACGTACTATTGTTGTAGATGACCTTGATGCCAATGTTACCATACAAAGTTGCCGCAATGATGCCAGTAATGACAGCGAGCATGTTGCAGACCGTCTGCCATCCGTAAACGGAGATACCTTGGTACGAGATCTACAAGGCGACAGTCAGTGATTATCGTCCCTTCTCAAAGTGGAATCCAAAGCTAGCATACCTGGTTCGAGTACTGGCCTTGGAAATAGTACACGTATGAGCCGTAAATCATGTAGACAGCGTAGATGAACTGATGAGGCGAGTTAGTATACTTCGGAGTCCTCATGAAACGATCTCCAGAGATACTCTGCATCAACCACCTGCAAGAAAAGCACCCTATGGTATGGAGGGAGTATAACTTACGAATTGCGATCCCCACATCACTTTCAAGAAGTCCCGTGGCCTCTGTAGCTCAGCCATGAACTCTATGAACAGTCTGCCAATTTGTGTCAGTGTATGTGCCTGGGCCAAGGGCCGCGATTCTCTAGACCTACTGCGCGCCAGCATAAGCGTATACACCCTGCATCAGGCCTACCACCGAGCCAATAAATCCATTATCGGATGGCGGAACAGTGCCATAAGTGACGACCGGCGGATACGAGCCATTGGGGAGTTGTGCGACGGATGAGCCTCCAGTCGCTGCACCTGCGGAACCAGCTTGGGCGGCGTCGTAGTTGGGTTCAGAGTGGGCAAACACTGGTGAAGCATGTCAGCGAATATAACGGGTCACCATCTTGCCATTGGGGTGCAGACGGGGCTGGCTGGAAGAAAGGATGAAAGGATGAGGCTCCGTAGCGTGGGAGAAAGGAAATACTGACCTCCCATTGATATGAACATTACCAGCAAGTTGATAAACACTGACCAGTTTGCCAACCAGGTGAATCTTGCGAGCGTGCGGATTTGACCCATTCCGAAGCCCACAAGAGCCCATATCAAGCAGCAGATGCTAGTTTGCGACACTAGTAAGTATACAGAGTATTATGCCAAAATTGAAATGCAAAAGATGGATCGAGATGCTATGGGAGCGTTACCTGTAGCAGAGCCGGAACTTGGAAACCTGGGAGATCGACTGGCCATTAGAAATAATGATATTTCCCACGCTCAAGAGCAGCTGCAAGCCTTGCGTGAAATTGACCAGCCAACGAAACCACTTTCCGTAGAGGCGGTAGGCAAGATCACCGTAGTTCTTCGCAGGGAACTCGAAGCTGTCCAAATGTAAAAAGCACTTCCACAAAAGCCAGCCCGAGCTGAAAATCGATACATCAGTAACATTCCTCTTTCGTTCACAGTTTGATTGTTGGGGAAGACTCACACGCCGGCCATGATGCCAAATAGGGTGTATAGACCGAAGCCTTCACCCCAGCCCATCGTGCCCAACGCGAAACCGACGCCCTGTAGAGACAACAAATTAGCCCAAGCATCTTCCTAAGAGGACTTTTTATTCGAATGAAAGCAGAATCCTTCTCAACTGGTCACTCTTAATCTCGGCAGTGATCGTCCGCATTGTGGGGGAGGGGTTGAGTCTGGTTCAGAGGAAAAGGAAACAAGCATCAGGAAAGGGTGTCACCACTCACAAAAGGACCCAGAATATCCGTAGTGATCAGGTAGAAACAAGCAGCTGCCGAGGCAGTACGAAGCGCGCGAGAAGCGTTGGTCCATTCCTCGTCACTAATGGTCGCCCTAACAGCAGGATCCGACAGGTTCAAGTCCGTGACAGCGCCCCAGCTGCCATCGGCGCCCTCGCTGACGACACCTCTGGACGCGCTGGGGATAAAGATGGACTTGAGCGTGACACGAGCCGGGTTGGCCTCGGCGGCGCGGTCTTCCTCGGCGCGCGTGCGCTCAGCGTAGAAGAGATATTCCTCAAAAGTAACGTTCGGATCGTGCAGCAGGCGCTGCTGAGGCTTGATGGCGACTGCGCGGCTGCGCACGTCGTCGAGCTCGCCAGATTGTTTGCGATCGAGGGAGTTGGCCGCATGCCTGTCGGGTGAGCCCGAGCCGCTGTCGATGGGAGGTTTCTCGCTCATCTTCGGAGGCGTAACTAGTATTACTGGAGCCGGGTTGTTTTGTTCTTCACAAAGTCAAACGTCCGCTCCGTGTATTGACAAAGTGGCCTAATGATTCAAGTAAGGGCAAAGGGAAGGTCAATGGTGAAAATAGTCCGTGAAACAAGTTCCAAGGTTGATGGAGAAGACGTTTGTTACCAGGTTGCAAACGGTTGGAGACGGGACACCACGGCTGACAAGGAAAAAACAAATGCGAAGGGGAAAGTCGCATCTGAACCTGGCACATGGTCGTGTCGATCAGTCTCGTACCGTGCAATAAATTGAACATCGGGTGGGGTGCCATGACATTGACGGCGATTCACCACTAGAATCCTCACCGGTCGGTAGCCCAATTCCTACTCCTCCTACTCCTCGTATTACTTCACTGTTGGATGATGTAGGCTGGCGAATCGCAACCCATCACTTCCTTCCAGTCCGGAAAAATCCCACAGGCCTTTGGGGTACATCTTTCCCAATCAGGAATGTCATAGTGTGATCTGTCAGATGCCTGAATCCATCGCGTCACACTTATATGGTCGTTTCGAACAAATCAGGCTTGCAGCAGGCTACTGAAATCCGCCTGGCTGGGCCTGACGCTGGTGATAACAATGGCAGCAACGGCTCCGGTGCTCCAGTGCTCCAGGTGCTCCACCATATGCGCTCGGGGCGGTTTTGTGCATGTGGCGGCGCCACTGCAACCACTTGCGGTTCTCCACAGCGAAAGTCTATCAAAGTTAA